TTTGTTTTACTTGCTTAATATGAAATCAGATCAGACAAAATAGTTTCTGTCCATGATCACTGGAAGCAAGGGCAACTGACCCAGGCGCTGTGGGAATCTGAGGAAATCAGCCTCCAGGAGTTCACCTGGCAACTAGTACAGGTTTACTCTGGCCATAAGGGGTGCCCAGAAGGCACGGCTGCAGATGACCTCTGCCCAAAGGACTCCAGCTAGGAATTTGGTTCGGAAGGCTGAATACAGGGACAGCCTCATGGATTTGTTCCCCAGAGTCCCCTTCAAGCGGTGGAATCACAGCTGCAAATGTCTGAAAATGCCGATTGGTTGCTGGTGGCCCCAGGCGTGGGGGGGGAGGGGGAGGAGGCGCAGAAGGGAGGCGGCCTCCAAAGGGAACAGGAAGAGAGGGGAGGGGGGGCTTGTTACGACATCCGCCTTCTCAAGAGAAGGTCTTCAAACCCCACAGTGGGTGCTTGCCTGGCGTGTCCAAAAAAAAAAAAAAAAAAAGCCCCCCTGCCTAGGAACAAAGCAGCCATTTGGTTTTTCTTTCTAAAAATGGCAGGGCTTAAAAAAAAACCTGAAGAAAGGAAAGCTGCAGGTCCATCTCATTTCAAAGGTTATACCACTCCAGTATCAGATGCCCATCTCTCTAAAGCAGCTATTGTACAACCCAAGGAACCGAGGAGTTAGAGAATCAAACTGATCTTTCGCCAGCAGTGGGGGGGAGGGGGGATCCACTCACAATACCCTTAGTATTTTAAGGAAGCTGTGCATTGCATTTCCCCCACCCCCCTCTATGCCACTTTGAAAACCATTCTCCTGTTGTGAGCTAATCAAACTAGTCCCCTATTTTGCTCCTTAAAGTTTTCAGCTAGAAAATAAGCCAAGATTGTCTCTTCTTTTCTCTTGGAATCTTTTCTCCTAAAATCTTCCTGTTTTTCCCCAAAAGGAAGTCAAGTACAGACTTGACATGCTCCACATTTAGCACACCTCACCTTCCTTAGCCGTGGAAGCCATTCCAGTCAAGCTCAGACAAGGCTCTGCAGCAACTCTGAGCTCATTTTCCAGCTCCAAACTAACATATTGTTGGCACAGTGAATCTGCAATGATTTCAGTTCAAAACTCTTTTCCAAAGCCAGTAGTCAGAAAGATATAGTTTATTACAGTTTATGCCAGCTATGTATATTTCAGCGATCACAGGGAAAACTCTGAAATTCCATTTTGAAAGACACAAGGAAGAATACAAGATATTGGCCCTGGTCCAACATAAGGCAGCAAAACCAGGCCAACCACAAAGGCGATTAGCAAACCATGGAGCTCCCATCAGCCCCCCAAGACAAGATGCCCCAGGCACATGGCTCCAGTCTCCAGAGGCATGAGCTGCTGCTCCCCATGCCGTGCATCCCCAACTGTAGCTGTGAGCTCTGCCTTGTTCCTGCTTGGCATCAACAGGTTCTCCTGCAGGGCTAAATCTCTCTGCACCATCTGACTTATTTTTAACTTAAAGAATATTACAAAACAACACAAGTTAATAGGCCGGCCTCCAAGGGCAGCGGTCCCTTCGGCATTCTTCAAAAATAAACATGGCTTCACTTGGGAGAGTGCCAACCAATCCCATGCAAAGATGCAGGTAAGGCAGGTGAGCGACAGCATCCCAGAAGGGATGGCACAGAGCATCTCTCAGCACTGCTGCTGTCTGATAAAGGACCAGTTTGTAAACAGCTGCGGCCACACAGCAGCCACTCTTATGAGCAGCCACAGGGAACCAGTGACGTTTCTCAAAAGTGCAAAGCTCTCCAGTCACAAGTTTCCTTACCCTGGAACTAGCGTCTGGGTCCCTGAAACTGGAACCCCCGTCCCTCAGCAGTCTCCCCGGCCTCTAACTTTCCACAGGGATCCAACTACAATTCTTATTCACCATCCAAGTCCCTGGCGCTCACATCTTGCAATGGTATGTCAGAATGGCTTTGGGGAACAGGGGCAAAGAGATGTTTCCTAGGAGTGGCCAGATAAGAGGGCAAATCTGTGGCTGGGTGGGGCAAGAGACTTAAAAGGAACCCTCCCCAAGATCCCCTGGGTGCGATTCAAGGTATTGGTTACCACCTTCAAAGCACTCCATGGCTTAGGACCTGGGTATTTACAAGACCACCTTCTGCTTCCAATAGCCTCCCACCGGTCAATTCGCTCCCAGAGAGGGGCTCCTCCGGGTGCTGTCGGCCAAGCAATGTCGGCTGGCGACCCCCAGGGGGAGAGCCTTCTCTGTGGGGGCTCCTGCCCTCTGGAACGAATTGCCCCCTGAGATGCGGAGGATTCCCGATTTATGCACCTTCCGCCGGGCCCTCAAGACGCTTTTATTCCAACAAGCCGCGCTGGCCTAATTTTTAAATTTTTTAATTGTTAACTCTTAATTTTTAAATGTCCTAAACGAGTATTTTATTTTAATTAGATATGGGCCAAATTATTTAACATTTCTTAAATTGTTTTTTAAATTTTATATCTGTGTTTTTTATTCTGGCTGTACACCGCCCTGAGTCCTTCTGGAAGGGCAGTATATTAAATAAATAAATAAATAAATAAATAAATAAATAAATAAATAAATAAATAAATAATCAATCAATCAATCAATCTCAGGCTGCAGAATTGTACTTCCAAATTCTGTTAATGTAGCTTTGCCATAAAGCAGAATTAATCTTATCTGGTTATGTTCCCTGTCTGGTTGATCTGGTAAGGCTGACACATCCGGAGAAAACCCGCAGTGCTTCGAGGGAATTGCTTCTGTTTCAGACTTGGGATGTCCACAATACTGGACTGCAGATCCTTTAGACCAGACCAGGGCCTTGTACAGCCCCAGGCCGACATCTGACCCTTTGGCTGTCCCTGTCTGGCCCATGTGAGATCACTTGGAAATTAGAAATCAAATGTAAATAAGTGTATACTACTCACGCAATGCAACTACGTTGCTTTTTTTTTTTTTTTTTTGAAGGCAACTATTTTTCAATTTACGCATGTGCGTGCATGCCTACACATCTTCAGTTCTATTGGTTCAGCCCTCCACAACAGTCTGAGTTTGTCATGTTGGCCTCTTGGGAAAATTAACCCTCCCCTTAGACCAGTGTTTCTCAACTTTGGTAGCTTGAAGATGGGTGGACTTCTACTCCCAGAATCCCCCAGCCAGCACTGCTGGCTGGGGGATTCTGGGAGTTGAAGTCCACCCATCTTCAAGCTTCCAAGGTTGAAAAACATTGCCTTAGACCAATCATTGCTACTTCTGAGAGTAAGTGTAGCTTTCACTTCTCTGCAATAAAGGAGGACCGTCCCCTTTCTTGCTCAGCTTTCTGGATTTCCAAAGAATCCGATACTGTTAGGAACAAGATGCTGGCCTTGCAACTCTTCCCACAGGGCCCTTGTGCAGGAGGAGTCAGGAAACCCACAGGCCTGGCAGGAAGAAGGCCGTCTAGTCTTCCATCCCTGGGGTCTCCAGACCAAGGAGGTTCAGAAGGTAACTGCTGGGAAAGGCCTCAGGCTATGCCCGAAGGAGTCAACGGTTACAGGAGGAAGGTATGAGCTACTGAAAGCTATTGAATACCATACAATACAATACAAAGAAAGGCACCCAAAGCCACTGATTATGCTGGCCAGACACTATGGCGGGCAGGTGCTGCTGGCTGGGGAATTCTGGGAGTTGAAGTCCCTACAGCTTAAAGCTGCCAAGGTTGAGAAACGTTGAGCTACGCAGACCATGGAAGGCTCATCAAGGGAAATGGAAGCTTTCCTTCCGAAAAATCCCGCCGACTCAAACGGTCCCTCCCAGCTGAGGCCCAGACGCCCACCCGCCGCTGGCTCCCAGCACTGAGCAACAGCGGCAGGCCCGGACCGGCCTTTGGCGCCCTAAAGGAACCGGGATTCTCTTACTCGACGGGCGAGGGGAGCAGGAGGGGGAGCCTGCAGAAGCGCCTCCTTGGCTGCCTCTCCAGCGGGGACGCCCCTGGGCCTCACGTGGGCAAATGGCCACGCGGGGGAAATGAGCCCTCGCTCAAACTCTTGGCCGGAGCCGCCGCCCCGCCGTCTGAGGAGCGGGAAAGCGACGCGGGGCCCGGCGGCCTCTGCCCTCCTCCGCCTCTCGGCAGTCACGGCATCCTCCTGCAAGCCGCAGGGCAAGCGGCGATGCTCCGCGGGGCCTTTCTCCCGCGGCCGCCGGCTCCGCTTGCCCGCAAATCGAGGGGGAGGCTGGGCCGCCTCGCCCTTTCCACCCTGCCGGAGCGAGGCCCGCTTTCCCACGGGCTAACACCGGCATCCGGCCCGGCCGCTGCCGACTCTCAGCCGAGCACAGCGGTTCCCAGCCAGACACCCGCGCGGCCCCCGCTCCGGCCACGCTGCCCCCGAGGAGGAAGGCGGCCGCGCCCACCGCCCCTCCCTGGCCTCCTTCCCGCCGACGGCAGCCCGGCGCTCCGACCCGGGTCCACGGGATGCCTGCGACCGGCTCCCCGGTCCTGAGGTCAACCGGCGACTCCCGCCCATCGCTGCCTCGGGCCCGGCTGCCTCGCCCCTCACCACCGGGCCTCCCGCGGGACTTCCCGCCGCGCCAAGCGCTCTCCTCGGGCGGGGCCCGACTGGCGCAGCGGGCGAGGCTGCCGGTAGCGCCGCCAGGACGGTCCCGGCTCGCTCCGAGGCCGAGGGGCTCAGCACCCCCCGAGTGGCCGTGGGCGGAAGCGGCGAGCGCGTGTGCGGGGGGCCGCCGCGTTGGCCTGGGCCCGCTCCCGCGAACGACGCCCCAATCAAGGGCGGGACGTCGGAGCGAGACCTCCGCCCTCCCGGTGCCCGGCGCAAAAAGGCCCGCGGCCGGTAGGAGGGAAGACCCCCAAGGGCGCCCCCAGCGCTCCCTCCCCGCCCCCCCCCGCTGACGCCCTTCCGCTCCGCGAAACTCCGGACGGCCGCCATGCGACGCAGGCAGAGAAGGGGCGCCCCAGTCCCGCGGCCTCCCCTGCCCCCCCCCCACACACACATACCGTTTTCGGCATTGTGCCGGCGGCCTGGGCGTCGTGGGGCTGCGGGCGTCTCGGCTGGGAGCTTCGCTGGGCGGCGGGAGTGGCTCGTCGGCAGGCTAAGAGCCTCGGCCAAGCGCGCCGCCTTTATTCGGGGCCGGCGCTCTGGAGCCCCCGCCCCGACGCTCCTGCCGCTCTCCCGCCCTTCCCGGGCGGGCCTCGCGCCTCCCCGCCTCGGGGCTTCCCCACCTCGGCATCCTCTGTGAAGGCTGCCCGGCGCGCGCCCGGCGAGGGCGGGTCCCGGTCCGCGGTGGGGCTCGGCGGGCGCTCCGAGAAGGCAACGCTCGGGAGCCTCTGGCGCGCGGCCGGCGGGCTCTGGGCTGAGCTGGAGACGCGCCGCTTTCGCTCTGGCGTTTTGTGCCGGTGGGCGGCGAAGAGCGGCTCTTGGGCCTGTGGCGCGCGACCCCCTTCCCCCCCCTCAGGCGGCCTGCCAGGCGTCGGGGGCCCGGGGCGCTGAGTGCGGCAGGGAAGAGCGAGCTTCTTCCCCCCTGCCAGCCCCGGATCAGCACGCCCAGCCAGCCGGCTTGGGCCTTTCAATCAGCGGGGCTTCCCTTGGCACTGTTGCCCGACGACCCTTTGAAACATTCCCGCATGGAATGGGTGCTGCTGGCCCTTTGGCCTTGCTCAGAGGTTCTGTATTGGGTAAATGCAGAAGGTGGATTCATTTCATGCAGTCAGGAACCGAATTACCCAGAACTTTGCTTGCAGACTGCACAATTGAATCTGAATAGATGCTCCTTTTTCTCTATATACACCAACACTCAAGGTGACTTCCAACAATCGAGTAATTGATTAGGATGGTTACAAAAAGCTGCCGGGGGACTTGCCATCTTCCTGACTCCTGGAATGTTGGGCGAAGGGAGCAGGGGTGAAATCCAGCAGCTTCTGACAGGTTCTGGAGAACCGGAGACGGAAATTTTGAGTAGTTTGGAAAACTGGCAAATACCACCTCCCAGAGTGGGGAGGGAATGGGGATTTTGCAGTATCCTTCCCCTGCCACACCTACCAAGCCACGCCCACAGAAGTGGTAGTAAAAAAAAATTGAATTTCACCAATGGAAAGGAGCCTCCTTGGCAGCCCCTCCGAAGTCTGGGACAGAGGAGAAGGCCATTTACCCAACAGCTGAGTCTTGGGATGGGCATCTTTCTCAATGGCCAGTTAGTAGCCCAGGGGCCGGTTCATAGCCCGAGGCCCCCTCTGGACAGAATTGTCCCTCGACTCCCTTATCCAGCCTAGTCTGGTGACTAGGACCATAATTATATAGAGAATCCTTCCATACAACCTCCCTAGATTTTTTATTGAAGCTTTTTTTCTCCTAAAACAATGTATCTGTTGATGGACTGGCACAATGTTTCTCAACCTTGGAAACTTTAAGATAAGTGGACTTCACCATTGTCCTTCGGTCCTGTGCAGAACACACTGGGCAGCAAGTGTCGGATCATTTAAGTGGACTTCAGTTCCCAGAATTTCCCAGCCAGCTTTGCTGGAAACTGCTTTGACTTGCCTTTTATTACCTTATAAGTAACTCAAGGCAGCGAACATATTTCCTCCTCCTATTTTCCCCACAGCAACAATCCTGTGAGGTGGGTTTGGCTGAGAGAGAGAGAGAGTGATAGGCGCAGAGTCACCTGGCCTGCTTTCGGGCTTTATAGGCAGGACTGGACCTGCCAGTCTCCTGGTTTCTAGGTCAGCTCCACTAGGCATCCATTCTGACAGTGGGCTCTGACATCGAGTTGCTTTTCCTCCTTTTAAAGCAGGTGGGTGTCTCCATACTCTGAATTCCAAATTAAAATTATTTGCTGTGCTATTTGATTTTTGATTTTTAGCCATTTAATTACCTATTCATATAAGAGCCATACTGGCGAGTGGTTAGAATGCAGTATTGCAGGCTGACTTTGCCCACTGCCAGGAGTTCAATCCTGACAGGCTCGGGGTTGACTCAGCCTTCCATCTTTCTGAGGTCAGTAAAATGAGGACCCAGATTGTTGGGGGCCAGATGCTAACAAATGTAAACCGCTCAGAGAGTGCTGTAGAGAACTATAAAGTAGTATATAAATCTAAGTGCTCTTGTTATAAGGCTCTCTTGATGCAGGATTTCTCAAGAGCTTTTAATTATCAACACAATATTATATGAATGCTTCATAAATAAATCTACAAACATACGTAGTGAGATAAGCATTTTATAAGCCATGTTCACAGGAATTATTTATTGGTTTGTTTGTTTCCTGCCTGTTTATTTTTACTCAAGGTGGCAAACATCTTCTACACACCTTCGTCCTCTTCTTTTCCCCATAACAGCCCTATGAGGTGGGTTGGGCTGAGAGAGGATGACTGGCCCAAAGGCACCCCACCAGCTCTCATGCCTAAAGCAGGACTTGAACTCATCATTCTCTTGTTATCCTTTTGGTGTTTGGTGAATTTATCCTTCGCAACACTTTCTGCCAGTCATCACTAATCAGCCGGCGTTTTCCTAATGCTGGGCCATTCTGAGAAAACCTTTTTTTCAAGCTTTCTCAAAAGAGTGAGGACAAGTTTGAAAGAAAGTTATTCAGTTCACATTGCACTTCTAAAGACACCGGACCGCGAGCCTTTCTTCAGCTTTATAGCATGTTCATTTCAACATCACTTATAAACATTGCCTCTCTTTTAGAACAAGGTCATTGAGGGTGGGAGTGAAAGAGAACAGAAGGGTCGCCCAGTAGGAGAGCTCAGGAGGGGCACAGGAGTGCCAGGCCCCTCTCTTCAGGGCGCGCTCCTCTCCCTCCTGCTGTCTTCCTCCTCCCTGCCTTGCCAGCACTCAGGCCAAGTGCCGGGGCTCAGACATGGAGTGAGAAAGGCCTGGCAGCTGCAGGGCTCTTGGCAGGCAAGGGACACCAGTCCTTTGCCCCCTTCAAGAGAGCTTCCCCTTCCACGCTGCCCATCAAGCTGGCCCCAGGACTGACCCCTGCCATCGCTTGTGCACACAATATGGAGCAGAACAGCTGGGTTCAAAACACGGGGGGGGGGGTGTCTGAAGCCAAAGGCAGCACATTTCAGCTTCCAATAGCAGGTGAAAGTGCCCATCGACATCTGTGCCTGGAAAATGCCCAACCTGGTTCAGCACCCTCTCTAAATGGGTGGCCTGAAAAAGGCTGCGCTCTGTACGGCTTCACTTGGGTGGGGAGGGACAGCCCTGTAAACTATACCAGCATCCAGATGATAGCCACTCTCGGCAGCTCCTGATGGAGTTCTGGCAAAAGCTTGCACTGTCTTCCTTGCCGCGATGCTACATTAGCAATTGCAGCTGTGCCCCAAAATAGCTAAAAATTGGAATAGGTAGCCAATCCCTCTTATGTCCCATTATCTGTAACTTCCAAATGCCCAACAAAAGCCTTCCTGGACTGAGCTCTGTTTGCCAAACTCCTTTTGCCATCTTGAGATTTCAAGCCCACCCAGCAGAGTTCTCTGCAAAGGGAACTCGAGACTCCAGAGAGGCGGTGGAGGGGATCTTTGCTAAAGGAAGGATCGCAGCCCTGGAGGGAGGGAGGGAGGAAATCAAACATTATCTGTAATACAAAGTTCTGCAAAAGATTGTTTCCAGAATCAGTAGGTCATTCAAAAGGCCCAGCAAAAATAAAACTGGGCTTTGTTTGCGGTGGTCAGTTTGAGAGGATTCAACATGGCTGCAATCCCCTACAATCCACAGCCTCATAGAAGATCCTTGGTTCTTCTTTCCATCCAAAATTTGCCTCAATTCATTTTGTCAAAATCTATTTTTAAAAAACTAAAAATAACCTGGGCGTTGCCGGCTGCTGTCAGCCACAACAGACTTTGTGAAAACCTAACAGTGCCAGACTCGGTTCCCAAGTTCTAGAAGGTTGCCAGTTTCTCATAAAGAGGCTCCTTTTTTTCCTTTTCAGCGAAGATGAAGGTGGTACGGTGGTGAAAGGGGTGGATTGGGCCCAAGCAGTCCTAGACCCAACCATCCAGCCCACTGACCCAGATCCTCTTTAGTCCACCTAGCGTCGTGGGGATTTTGCTGTGAAGATAGCAGGGGGAGTAGATGCTTGCAGTCTGAGTTCCCAGAGGGAAGGCAAAGAATCTAAATGTACTTCATTCTGCCTAAGAGACGCCCAGTTCAGCTCCAGTCACTTTCTGTGCTGCTCATTGAGATGGGTTGGGAGTGAGAACACAGCCTCAGGCCAAGGGAGATCTATAGAACCGTGATGGAGAACCTATGATATGCGTGCCAGAGGTGGCACACACAGCCCTCTCTCTGGACATGCGTGCCATCGCCAGCTGTTCTTCTGGTTTCCGGCATGCGCATCATGCCAGCCAGCACATCTTTGCACGTGCCGGAGCCCTGGAAACTCCAGCACAAAGACCAGCTGGCCGGCACACATGTGCGCGCCAGAAACCCAAAAACCAGGTGGCCAGCGTGGGCATGCACATGTGCACTGGCCAGCTGGTCTTTGGGTGTCTGGGTCTCTGGTGCATGCACACATGCATTCCAGTTTGGCACTCGGTGCCGAAAAGGTTTACTATCACTGCTCTAGAAGGTGCAGCCCCAACAGACCACTATTCATACCCTGCTGGTTACCTCTCAGCTTGACTACTGCAATGCACTGTACTTGGGGCTGCCCTTGAAGACTGCCCAGAAAGTGGTCCAGAATGGAGTATCACCGGCATCTTGGTAAGCTTGCTTTGCAAGCTGCACTGGTTGTCATTTTGCTTCCAGATATGATACCGATAATGATGTTGGTTGTTCCCTATAAAGCCCCACATCGCATAGGGCCTGGTTAGTTTAGGAACCACCTGTCTCCCTTAACGGCTCCAGCTGATCTGATGTGGCAGGGATGGCGTGCTGTGAGATTCTTTGGTTGAACAACATTAATGAGCCTGGAAGCAGCTGTCCCAGCACCTGCCGCCTAGAATAAGGTTGCCTCGCGGTCCAGATGACCCCCACACTGCTGGTATTTCAAAGGGACTTGGATTTGGCTTTTCGCCCAGCCTTGTCTCCCTCTGGTTGCTTATCCCTGCCATCTTTGTTCTTTTTAATTTCATGTTGTTTCCTTGTTTTAAATGCTTTTAACAAT